TATTGCTTTTTAGGTTTCAATTACTTATCATGTATCCTCAAGTGGCTTACTGCTTTATTGAAGTTTGCTACCTTCACTTTTATGTTGTATTCTTACAGCAGGTTTAGAATAATTTAAAACCATATTTGTTTCATCTCTCAGGGAGATTATGGACAGTCTCATAAATTCTGTGGCGTAGACTCACATGTGCCAGATTTCTACAGTTACGGCCGCACCATGCACATCAGCTTCAAATCAGAAGCCTTCATGACTGGGAATGGATTCAGTCTTACCTATCAGGTGGCAGGTGTGTTTTCCGTTACGATTCGAAAACAAAGGGGTTTTTAGTGTGATTATATTGTCATGTGTGTGTAAATTCTGTATGTGATCTTTTTGCAGGTTGCAGCAGGGTTTATGAACAGGAATACGGTTACCTTAAGAGCCCAGGCTGGCCTGACATATATCCTCATAATCTTGAATGCAACATCATACTGCAGGCCCCTCAGAACAGTTCCATCTCTCTGTTCTTCTCTAGTTTTGATGTGGAGACTCATCCTTCCTGCAACTTTGACTATCTTGAGGTGAGCATAAACATACTGAACCATCACCATATAAAAAAAAAAGAGAAGAAATAAAATAAATGTTATTGCGTTCAAGTCATTTTGGAAAGGTCGTATATATGAGTAGAACTGAGATAAAATAAGTTGAAGTAATAAAATTACAAAACTAAAACTGAAATAAATAGAAATTAAAGCTAAATAGAAATATAAAAATGGAAAATATAAAAATAAAAGCTCATTTAAAATACTATAATATTATATAAATAATACTAAAATAACATTTCATTTTTAATTCAGCAATCTGTCTAGATATCATCTTTAAAAAAAAATGTTTGTAAATAAAAATGATCCAGTTTTGTATAAAAACGCTTAAAGTTGCCATGAAATAAAAATTGACAAGTCTTATTATTTATGTAATATTGCAGTGTCTATTATAAATGATTTATCTGTGCACTTTCATGTGCCCAAAGGTTTAATCAAAAACCTTAACCTTCCCTTCCCTCTCGAAACTTCCTGTCATGTGATATGGCGTGAGGGTGGGGCTATCAGGCTCTGTATCATTTCTGCATCCATTTTATTGTTAGCAACGCCCAACCTCCAACGATCCAATCAATTCCTGAAGGACGAAATCAAGCCCCACCCTACAATTTTTTCTCATTTCAGGAGCCGTTTCACTCGGATATACGTCACAATAAGGCAAAAAAAGAACAATCGCAACTTCCATTTCATGCTGAGTACATTGCATTATGGGATACAGTACCCAGTGCGGTATGATCTGATGCTGCTCATTTGGGCAAATACAGATCATCCAGAAAACTTGCATACTGTATACATACTGCAGAAATAGTAAAAGTAGTTTGATACTATGCTATGCTAGCACCTTCTGATGATGATTTTACTGTAGCTGTCTAATGTACATTTCTTTCTGCTGATGTAGGTCAGAAACGGCAGTACCGCCACATCGCCTCTGTTAGGAAAGTACTGTGGAAGCACACTGCCAAATCCTGTCTTCCCGGGAACCAACCAGCTCTTCCTACATTTCAAGAGTGACTTTACTACATCCCGCAACGGCTTTGAGATCACCTGGACTTCCTCTTCACAGGGTGAAAAACGCACCGCTAATTTATGTTTGCAACGATATCCTCAGTCCAATACTGTTGCTGAGAGTCCTAACTGTGTTACCTGTGTGTGTGTGTGTGTGTGTGTGTCCAGGATGTGGAGGTGTGCTATATGGAGACCACGGCTCTTTCGCCAGTCCAAACTACCCTGGCACTTACGCCAACGGCACTTCTTGTGAGTGGGGAATCAGGGCTCCTAGTGGCAGAGTAGTGATAGTCACATTCAACCAGATCAGCATTGATGACCCAGGAGACTGCGAGAACAACTACTTGAAGATATATGACGGACCAGATGCCAATTCACCTGTTGTTGGGCCATACTGTGGATCGGTATGTGTGAACTCTTAGTGTGGTGATTGCAAAAACATAACACTTCTGTTAAGCATCTGTATTACTATTTCATTTATATATACTACCATTCAAAAATTTGGGGTCAACCAGATTCTTTTTTTTTCTTTTTTTAATAGACATTAAATTGATCAAAAGTGACAGTAAAGATATTTAATATTCAAATAAATGCTGTTCTTTTGAACTTTCTTTTCATCAAAGAATCCTGAGAAAAAAAATACACAAAAATATTAAGCAGCACAACTTTTTTCAACATTGGTGATAATATGAAACGTTTCTTGCAAGCATATTAGAATGATTTCTTAAGGATCATTTGACACTGAAGACTGGAGTAGTGATGCTGCAAATTCCGCTTTGCATTACAGGACTAAATTCCATTTACACTATATTCATATAGTTATCTTCAATTGTAATAATATTTTACAATATTACAGTTTTTACTGTATTTTTGATCAAATAAAAGCAGACTTGGTGAGCATTAGAGATTTCTTTAAAAAGCATTTAAAAAAACGTAACCCCAAACTTTTTAACGCTAGTGTATATACACAATTTTTCTATGGATATATAATTGCTCTTTGTTCTTTTTGTAGGAGACAAATATCGCCCCTTTCAGAGCATCTTCAAACCTTGTGTTTGTGAAATTCTCGGCCCAGTCTGCCGTTCTTCCGTCTGGGTTCAGACTCACATGGAGCAGCTGAGAAGAAATTAAAAAGAAAAATTCACACAGAAATATGTGAACACACCTAGCAATCATAAACAGTCCCATTGAGTGAAGAATCGGCAAATCAAACATAAATAATATAATATGAATCCTCATTTGTAGATAATTGAATTTATGTACTGTATGTATTTTTTATGCTTTTTTTTTGGAAAATAAAGATGTTTAATGTGGTTCTTATGTAATTGTGTGGTGAAGGCAGCTTTTTTTGACAGTCGGTAAAGATGTTTTAAATCTTTGTATCTCATTGCTGTCAACTGAGCCTTTAAAAATATCTCTTCTGTGTTTTTTAAACATAAAAAATAAGTCAATTTGCATACTTGCACTCGTTTCAAAGGTTTGGCAGCTTTTTTAAGTGTTAAATATCATTTTCACTGTCTGATATCCTCAGCTTCTCTCTGGACTTCAGGGAAACAGCCCACTCTCTGACATCTCAAGCCTGACGCATTATACTTTACATACCCAACACTGAGAGAGGCTAAGGGTGACAATGAAGCTGTCTGAGGAAGAAACAGACTTCAGTGCTAATGGGTCTGTCTGCTCTGTAGAGGGAGATAGACTTCAGCTTTCTTCATGCAATGCTTCTATATAGAGAAAGCAAACCAACATTTCATCTAATCTTTCATATCTTCCTTCTGAACGCGGCAAAATACTCCCATCATGGTCAAAGAAGAGTGTCTGATCAACAGAAAAACAGATCTTTGAGACATTACCATCTGGTATTAAGGCCTTTCTCACGATTTTCACAAACATTTTATAATAGTTTTCCCTTAACCTAACAAGGTCAAAGTTCATGAGAAGCTCTGTGTTAAAAAAATGTGTTGACCTTGGAAATAGTGCAAGAAAATGGCCTCAGGAGACCTTTACTGCAATGAGGGATTTATATTTTCTCGTTATATTACCGCAGATAAAAATGATAAAGATTATAATAAAATATAATAAAATCAAATGAAGCATATTTTAAGGACCATTAAGATGACCATTGAATTTATATATACAGTATGTATATATATATATATACACACAGTATATAGTGTGTGTCCATATATATATATATATAAAATATGAAAAATAAGTACATATTTGTATACATATATATTTGTATACATGTTGAATTTTTGGTCATTTTCTGATTTTCTAAATTTTAGCATTTGTTGTAAGTGTTTTAAAATCATTAATAGGTGTTATTTTCATTATACAATGTACAATATATAATTATACATTCATTATACATTATAATATATATATATATATATATATATATATATATATATATATATATATATAAAAATATATATATGAAGACCTCCGATGCAAAAGCCTCTAAACGCCACCTTTGTCAAAAATGAGATAATAATATTGAGTGAATGCTCTCCGCACATAGTATACCTTCTTTAAAAAAAATCTTTCACTTCAAACTCACTAAATGCCAGCCTCAGCCCATTCAGAAATGTCGGTATTTGGGTAGAAACATAGGAGCCTGATAGAAATGTTAATATTAAAGAAAAACGTTAGACGGATTTAGAGGCTATATATATAATATATATATATTATTTTGGGGTGAAATGTTTGTACATTTTCTTGACAGGTCTTTGTGACATTTACCCTTTTATAACTAATTGTATTTAGAATAATACAAATTTTAATATGATAAAAGGTGATTTATGATGTAACAAAATTATATTAAGGTCATATATCAGAATAGTGCAGATGGAAAAAATAATGTGTATTCATTTTATATTATAACAAAAAATATATATTCATTTTCAATGATCAACCAATGTTCCTTGTTTAAAAAAAAAAAAAACATAATTGTCAAACCATAAAATCCACATTCCTTCTGGACATACAACGGCTCATATTGACTAATATGCTGGTGGTCTGCTCTGCTGTATATAGTTCCTCAGGCACATAATTTGAGACCACCTCATAAATCAAAGAGCAGATCACTCAGACATCCACACATTCCCACCTCACTGCCCACTTTGGTCAAGTGTCAGTGCTTATTGCTCCTTTATGTAGATTCTAATAAAATACACACCTCCCAGTGCCCTCATGCCATGTCTGAATGCGTCCGCTCTCCATTGGCTTCTGGCCGAGGGTGTTGGTTAAAGATTTTACAACATAAACAAGCTTTGCCCCTGGAATCCAGAACTCCCGCTCTGCAAAGCAAAGTTCAAACATGCTGAAGCATCTGTTGCCACTCACCAAATATAATCAAGCCTATAAATAGAGCCACTGTTTGTCAGTCCCCAATAGAAATGATCAACCCTGCAAGAACCAGACATAGACCGAGAGACAGGCGAAGGAAGGACCGAGCCCAGACCAAGATCCAGTCTGTTGATGGTTCCACCTGGGACCACAGGAACCCAAAGGAAAAGAGAAGTGTATCCATACCTCTGCCTCATGCTAGGGTTCTGTAGGAGGAGGAGACAGAGAAGACTCATATTGCTCTTCCATCTTGTGTAGAAGTCTAAACAATGTGTCTCCCTTGGAAGGTAGGTGATAGCCGGGGATCTGGGCGATAGACAACAGCTGCCCTGTTCAAGACACCTGCTGGATTCACTAATACATTATTCAGATGGATGGATATTTTGAGGGGAAAGTGCTCTTTGTAACGGAGTTCCATATATATATATATATATATATATATATATATATATATATAATTGTAAAGTATTTAAGTATTTATACTCGTTGGGTGTTGGTTGCATTTCTTTTAAGGGATTTATGTTAATTAATTATTTTAAAATAATTCAAAATTCAAAAGTGTGTGTATATATATATATATATATATATATATATATATATATATATATATATATATAATCATTCATATAACATTCAGAAAATCAGAAAATGACAAAAATTCAACATGTGTACAAATGTATATAAATTCAACATTTTATATAGCCTATATACATTCAACATTTATATTTTGATAATTTATATATATATATACATAGAGAAAGAAAGAAAATATATTCCATTCTTTGTTACCAAAAACATGAAGTGCATTAAATAATACATTATGTCAGGGTTACATTACATGTGGTGTGTGTTTGGATATGTTCTTAACAGGCTTTTGTGAAATTTACCCTTTTATAACACTAATTTTAATATAGCCTAACTAATTTTATTTATAATAATGTTGCTTTTAATACAAATGTGAATAATTCTCGGTCGATATTAAAATAATACAAGATCAAACATTTTTTTTTGCATCAATAATATATTGTGCGCGCGTCGATAGCATACTTTTCTCGTCTCTTCCACATATTCATTGATTGGCAGAAGGATTTGCACTCTTGCAGCGCCGCGCATTCTGATTGGACATTTGTGTACCTTTTCTCAACGATTCCACTGACTCTCTAGCAGCTGATTGGACAATAGAACAGAATTCGGCTTGACATTCTTTTCCTTTCTCTCGACCCCGGAAATACCCTTTTAAGGAAGGAATGCGAGACTTTTACAGACATACTATCAACTTCCGGTTGGGTGTGAGCGACTGTCTTGCTTAAAAAGATCTGGTTTTACTGCCCAGAGGGCCTGGATATTTGTTGTCTGTTTTTCCTTCATGCTTGCGTATTTTCCATACAGTTAGGTAAATACTGAGTGAGTTCTTTATCTGATTTTAATGACTAGATTTGAACCACGATTTGAGGCCAAAGTGGCAAAACTCTATTCGTAAGATTCTCTGCGTGTATTCGGTTCTTTTATTGGTTAATCTTTTCTTGTAGAAAATGTCAAAGTCCCTAAAAAAGATAGTGGAGGAGAGTCGTGATAAGAATATCCCGGAGGTGGACATGTGTGACAGAGGAATATCAAACCTGCTGGATATTCCTGGCTTGTGTGAGTCTGCTGTATTCAGTCTGGACAGTTTCTTTACAAGTTTAAAGTTTTATATTGTGCTAATGTTAATAAACTTTATGCTAATGTTAATTAGTTTTGATGATTACACTGTAAATATGTGGCTGTCAATCGTAGTATGTAGTGTCTATTTACAAAATATGATTGCAGTAGGAGATTAGTGGCGTCATCACGTTGACGTCATCATCCAATGACATCAAGTAAACATGTGTCTTTTTTAATTGTTTTTATTTTGTAGTCACCTTGTCCAACATAACCCAACTGGTCCTGAGCCACAATAAGCTGAGTGGTAAGTTCTTGTCTCAAGAGAATTCTCTTTTTGTGTTTTATTTTTGCTTTTTAATTTGAACGTTACATAATTATATTTACAGATAATGCATTACGTCTTTGAGAGATGGTAAAAGTTCTGTAAGTTTAATAGCATGGATGTTTCTAAGTTGGAGTTAGTAATGGTTACTAAGGCAAATCTCTGGGTCTTTTGGAATTGCAACTTATTTCCCAAGTAGAAATCCAATAGGAAACAACCAAGTAGAAGGTAATACAGTAATGATATGGGAGTCCCTATGTGATTTGTTGAATTTTTTGGAGTTAAACTAGTATTTGCTTGATTTATTTGATATGCTTTTAATGCCGTTAATTAAGTTAGATTTAATTTTCATTGCAGTATAGTAGGCTAAACTTTTATAGCACAAGTGTAAAATTATATTGAGACTGCAGGTTCACGAAGGCTGTAGAACTGGTTAACTCCACTAGAGGGCTGTCTCGTCTTTGTTGATCACTGGTTGTTTGATTTTAGGTTCTGCTCAGTTTAAGTACCACAATAATAGATAGTGAACAATAGTAGTACATGTAAAGTTAATCTTCATTGCAATTTGTGAACATTTCTTATCTTTTTTCTTTTAAATGTGAGTTTAATAATAATCTTTGAGAGTTATTAGGAGAAATAATATGTTTGTATCTTGTTTTCCCCTCCCACATAATCTTTGGGTCCATGGTAATCGCCCTAAGCCATGTTCACTCTCATCTGATCTGAACAGGAAGTGTTTGGTTGGGGATTTGTTTGTTTATGCAGGAATCGTTTCCCTTAATCTCCATGAAGATCCCAGTGTGATAATGCACATTTCTGTCAGGTACCGTCGGAAGTAATGATCAAAGCCTTTTAATATGATTTATAAGATTTGAAGATGAGGAAATGACTCATTCCGTTACGGGTCGCACCGCTTGTCTGAGGCTGATTAAATGAGGGAGAAAGTGAAACTTTATGGATACACAGTGGGGTCCAAAAGCTTGAGACCACAAGCAAAATGCTTTATTTATATTTATATTATATTATATTATGTTATGTTATATTATAATTATACTCTGCTATAAATGATCAAAGCCTTTTAATATGGTTATGATTTGAAGAGAAAATGACTCATACCGTCACAGGTCACATCGCTTGTCTTTAGCTGGATTAAATGAGGGAGAAAATTAAACTTTATGGATACAGAGTGCGGTCCAATAGCCTGAGACCACTAGAAAAATGCTTCTATTTTGCTTTTTAAAAATAAATGAAATGAATTAAATACATATTAAGAAAATTTTTATATTATCGAAATCTATAAATCTGAATAATCTATGTGGTCATAAATATGAATAAATTATACTTTTTATACTAATTATACCCCCCCCCCTTATACTTTTTAGGTTTAAAAAACAAAAAAGCAGCATTTAACTTTGTTACTGGACTTCATTGTATAGAAATAGGAGAGTATTTTTATACCCTTTTCCCCCTGTGTATTCCACACCACTCTGCATTTTCTCCTCTGTTCCTCTCCTCTCTCTCATCCTGCCTACTTAAAGAGCAGAGACAGGGAATCTGCCATCTTTTGAACTTTTCAGGGTAGTCAGGAATTACAGTGACATTTGGAACCCTTTCATTAGTGGCTCATGAGTAAAGCATGGCTGCTGTTCGGCCTGGTCAGGCATCAGCTCAGGTAATGAGACCGAGAGGAGAGAGGGGGAAACCTTTCTGCTCCATATAGCCGTGTACTCTTTGTCCTATTACCATCAGCATTTCTGCCTGTTCTAAAGGCTCCAATAGGGTGTTAGCACGCACACACACACATACTCACACATACATTCAACTTGTGTTTACAAGCAGTTTTGTACTTGCAACTTGTGCATAAAAAAATATTTTCAAGCAAGAAAAGCCAGCAGAAGAACAGTCTGTAGCGCTGTTAGAGCCCTCTCTGTGGTTTAAGAAGATAAAGTGTAGATGTCTGGTAGAGGCATGTGTCTTAAGGATGGAAAAGGCCGAACAGATCGATCTTGTGTGTCATTTGGAGATGAGTAGAGGGACCCTGACATGGGGCGCGGAGTTCAGTGTCCTGCAGTGTCTCTTGGTACGTTTACAGTTCCAATGAGACACTGGGAAATAAATCGTATGTTTCAAGTATCTTTTATAAGCGAAAAGGTCAGAGGAATGGATTGATGCAAAAATTGGGAATTGAAGGGTCCAACTGAAACTTACTCAACTAGCATGGACACTATTTTTTTATGTCTAAAATGTACATTTCTGTAACACTTACTGTTATAGCTTCCAAACACACTACAGTTTGAAAAGTCATTAAACGCAATGATATATTATGTATGTGTGTGTGTGTATGTATATATATATATTTTTTTAATATATATATATATATATATATATATATATAGAGAGAGAGAGAGAGAGAGAGAGAGAGAGAGCATGTATGAATGGATGCGTGTGGATGTGTTTAATAACTTTTCAAACTATTTTAATGTTTATTTGTATATTTATATTTGACAGACCAAAATAGATTTTTCATTCGCTGTCGCTGGTATTGATGTTTGTGTCTATATAATAAATTGGCTATTATTTAAATGATATCTCAAAATGATCAAAAATCAAGCAATTAGTCTCTAATTTGAATGTACATAATAATAATAATAATAAATTAACTCTAATTCTTAAATAACATGCACATGTACTGAACAGGGCTATGAGAATGTACACAATGTACTGATAACATAACATTTGGAACATTTATTATTAAATAATTGATGTATGAATTATTATTACAATATATTTTAATATTATTATTGTTAAAAAGAAACATAGGCATCACTTTACAATAAACACTCACTAATAACAAATGTATTAATTAATAATAATATTAAATAGTAGTAGTAGAAGTAGTATTAAATGAATCTGCTATTAGTGAATGTTTCTTAGCAAGCACGTGTGCTGAAGAGGGCTGTGAGAGCATGTGCATTCATGCTTGTGTTTCCTTGTTGGATTTCTGAATTGTTTGTGTGACGGCTGAATCATTTGTTCCTCCGTGTCTGGCGCGGGGCAGCTCTCGTTGATCTCTCTGGAGGTATTCGTGTCATGCTGTTTGTGTAAACCTCTCCCACCTCCCCTCCTCCGTAATGAGGGGCCATTGATCAGCCAGTAATCGGATAGAGCGCCTGTTCGGCCCATCGATCTCTGTCGACAGCAGGAGGGGGAGGGGTGCTGCTGATGATCCCTTATGCTAAGGCCTCCATCATTAAAGTGTCAAATCTATCGCTGGGGGAGGGACCCATAATTGAGCCATCAAAGACGGGACGTCTGTCTGCTGACTCTGATAATTAGCCGTTAAACCTTCGGCCTCTGTTCGTTAGACCTCGTCTCTCGTTTGGGAATGCTTTACCTTGAGGATTGTATTGGTGATTATAATACAGTCAATTGAAACGCTTTGATTGATTTAGATTGATGATACCTGCAGAATTGAAGTTGTTCTTGTTTATTAGTTTATCCTTCCCATCTCTCTCTCTCTCTCTCTCTCTCTCTCTCTCTCTCTCTCTCTCTCTCTCTCTCTCTCTCTCTCTCTCTCTCTCTCTCTCTCTCTCTCTCTCTCTCTCTCTCTCTCTCTTTCAGGTGTGCCTCCTAACATTGCAGACCTGAAGAACTTGGAGGTGTTGAACATGTTTAATAACCAGATTGAGGAGCTTCCAACTCAGATCAGTAGCCTTCAGAAACTGAAACATCTGAACCTTGGGTTAGTCTGATGTGTCATCGTTTCTTGTACTCAGTTTGTTTTGCCTCTTCTCTACTTTTCCCTCTTTGTTTATTTTTGTTTGTTATACTTTAATTTCTTCTCCTCTTGTATCCACTTGTCTCTTTTCTTCTCTTTTCTTCAAATCTTCCTGTCTTTTCTCTTGTGTTCCCATCTGTTCTCTCCTCTTATCTCTCCTCTTGTCTTTTTTTCCTCGTCTCTCTTCTCTTGTCGTCTCATCTCTTCTCATATTTTCGTCTTGGTTTTTCACACCTCCCCTTTCCTTTCCTCTTGTCTAGTGGCTCTGATCTCCTCTCGTCTTTTCTTTTTTCATCTCATCTCAACTTGTTTGGTCTCTTCTTGTCTCGTCTCTTTTCTACTTTTCACTCCTTTGTGTTGTTTTTTGTTTTGTTTCGTCTTGTCTCTTCTTCTATCTCCTCCCCTTTCCCCTCCTCTCATCTCTTTTCGTTTCTTATTTTGTCTCTCATACTTTCACCTCTTCTCCTTTTGTATCCTTATTTCTTTTCTTCTCCTCTTGTCTCTCCTCTTGTTCACGTCTGTTCACTTCTTGTCTTATCTCTCAAATTGTTTTGCCTCTTCTCGTCTTGTCTCTTCTTTATTTTTCCCTCATTTTGTTTTACTTTTTGTTTCTTTTGTATCTTCTTCTATCACCTCTCTTTCCCCTATTTTCTTTTCATTTTTTCCCTCTTGTCTCTTATAATTTCATATCTTCTCCTCTCATGTCCTCTGTCTCTTTTCCTGTGTCCATGTCTGGTCACTTCTTGTCTTATTTTTCTTCTTGACTTTTTTTCCTCATCTCTCTTATCTTGTTGTCTAGTCTCCTCTCATATATTTGGTCTTGGTTTTTCACTCCTCTCTTTCCTTCCTTTCCCTTCCTCTTGTATCTTCTCGTCTTGTCTCCTCTGCTCGAATATTGTATTTTCTCCTCCCGTCTCTTCTGGTTTTCTGAACCATAAATCTGCTAATTTCTGGGTCAGAAATCGTTCCCAAAGATCATGTCTGCATTAACGGCATTAATAATTTCATTTCGAGGAGGATCATTCTAGTATATGTTGTTGATCAGACACTGTTATCTCCTGGTTATCAAAGCATATCTGGTTTAGGAATGGTTGTCAATCCTTTTTTGTGAGGTTAAGAAGCCTTGACAGTGGCAGTGCAGCTGTCTTCCTCTGTTCTTCTTCCTCTCTGACTCTCTTCATCCCTGGTCATCTGGTCATCCCCTGGTGTTTAGAGCCCACCTGAGCCCCACCCGAATCCCAAGGGTTCTCCTTCTCCTCCGAGGGCGGAGCCTCCTCAATGTCACGCAGGATTAAAGCGAGGCACAATCTGCCCCGCGTCTGACACCGCACATTTTCATCGATTTGCTGTCAGACTCACCATTTCTACACATAATCTTGAAAACATAAGCCGGCTTGTTGTATTCCCGGCCGCTACTCTCGACTCAAACGTGAGGATGTGTGTGTGAGCGTGCGGCCGCCCGTTATCCTGATCTCATTTGTCAAAACAATTCCCCTTCCTGTGTAATTGCTTCGCAAACATGTGGTGGAATCAATTTGTTTGTTTCTTTAAAATCTGTTGCTAAAGTTTCATTGTCTTCATGGCAACCAAGTGTCATTTGAAAGCGAGAATGAAAGAGACGGAGCACAGACGCTTAAATAAGCAAGAGTTAATCAGCATCTGATTTGGGCGCCCCTCTCTCTCTCTTTTTCTCTCTCTAATGCTCTCTCTCCCGTGTTTTATCCACGTCGTCGGGCACCTTGAGCCTTTCTAATTTCAGATTCCATGTTCTCTGTCGGAAGTTTTCAGCCAAAATTTAATTCGCTACCTTTCAAGGGCAAATAGGATTTTAACATTTACAGACTCAACATATTTTTTAATATTGGTGAGCTAACTGAACATTGAACTTTCATTAAGAGATACCTTGAGTTTTTATATATATAAAAAGTGGTGTCTAAATGTCTGAAAACATTGAAAATCTGGTTTTCACATACAGTATACACTACTGTTCAAGTGTTGATTTTGAAATAAGTCTCTTATACTCACCAAGGATGCATTTATTTGATCAAAAATACAGTAATATTGGGAAGTATTTTTACAATAATGAAAAAATGCTTTCTATTTGAATATATTTAAAAAATATAATTTATTCCTGAGTTGGCAAAGCTGAATTTTCAGCATCATTACTCCCGTCTTAAGTCACATGATCCTTCAGAAGTCATTCTAATTTGTTGATTTGATTCTGATTCTGATTATTATCATCTTTTCAGGATTCTTTGATAAATAGATAGTTCAAGAGAACAGCGTTTATTTGAAATAGAAATCTTTTGCAACATTATAAATGTCTTTACTGTCACTTTTGATCAATTGAATGCATACTTGCTGAATAAAAGTATTAATTTCTTATAAAATAATTCTGACCCCGAACTTTTGAATGGTAGTGTAATTTAAATCTGTACATTTGAAAAATAATATATATGTTTTAGGAATTTGACCAATTAAAAACAAAAAAGTTTTATGACATAAAATCAATAAGACATTTCAGTCATTAATGCAAAAGGGGGACAAATTGAAAACAGACATTCTTAAATATGTTTTATTTTTCAGGTCCATTTTTGTTTAACTCAAATTTTTATGCTGATAATTGGTAATTGAAAATGTTGTATAAATTGAGTAAAATTAAAAATGGAAGTGGTTTCACACCTTCACTAGTGATCTCAGACTTTTGGTTATAAATGTGAGAAGATCTGTTGAGTTGCGTTATAAATCTGAAATATCAATCAAAATCAGTGAGATGGATCTGTGCGCAATGCATGTCTCTGTCTCATGTCTTCAAGTAGGTCGGCTAAGGATTGTGTCAAGAATTGACGGGTGTTTTATAAGTGTGTATCTGCTTGTGGACGTGCAGTGTCTGTTTTTTTTTTTAAGCTGATGATTTGGTTAAAATTGCATTTTATGGTCTTCATGTGTAGGATGAACCGGTTGAGCACTCTTCCACGAGGGTTCGGATCTCTTCCGGCGCTGGAGGTTCTGGATCTGACGTACAACAATCTGAACGAGTCCTCACTGCCCGGAAATTTCTTTTACCTTAGTAAGTCTGCAACACACACAATGTATTAGCAGTATAACCTGCATCAATCTTACTAATTTATAACAAAAGACTGACTGTTCATAGACCACTTGATGCATATTCCAAACTAAAATAAAAAGAAATGTAGAAAGGGGAAAGCTACATTCTTATTGGCTGGCAATTTACAAGTGTCAGTTTACAACTTTGTTTGTTGTGCACACTGCACAGGCTTTTATTTTGTTTTCCTTAAAACAAAGTTGCATTTCCCAGTCAGGTTTAAAGGGATAGTTTACCCTTAAATGAAAATTAAGTCATTAATTTCTAATTGCTATTCACTGCCATTATATGGACAAGTGCGAGCGGGAATTTTTTTTTAAATTCTCATTTTGTGGTCCATAAATGAAAGAAGGTCATACTGGATTAGAACAACACCAGGATGAGTAAATTATGGGTGAACTATCACTTTAAGGCCCTGATATACTCATGGTGAAGTTATTTTTCGTTCTTCGCTAAGGGCTAAAAAGAAGTTTAAAATGCGTGACCAGTAGTATACTGTTAGCGAATGTCCGGACACCACCCTCACTGCTGTCTGACCTCAATGGATTGAACAGAAGAAATTAACAGAAGAAGATTTCCACGGAAAAGAAAGGCGGAGCCTCAGAGCACACCTATTTTGTTCACAATTACGTCACAACAGTTCGTTTCTTGATTGAACTTGAAGTATAACAGGGAATTTTAAATCTCACCATTTTTGTGTGTGAATTTAATCAAAAGAAGCAACATTTATGATATTCATTTATGATCAGATTTGAATAATGCTTAGAGATGTAAAAAACAATGTTGACAAACAGTGTTGGAGATTTCAGTCTTTCCCCATTAAACCAAAATGGTCATCAAGTGAAATCTGACTTTATTTCACTTGATTACCTTTCTTTTTTCTCTTTTTTTTACCAAAGTTACCTTTTTTGACTACAATGTCAACAGGTTTTTTAGTAATTTCCACTTGCGTTCTCGATTATTTTTGTGACATTATTGATTTGAGAGTCATTTAAACGAGAAAGATTGTGGTTGGTTGCTGAAATAATACGGGTTCCTGTCGATTTGGGTAGTTCTTTGCCAGAATAAGCTGCAATGAGGACCAGACTGCCTACTTACAATATGCTAACAAAATAACTGTTAACTTCATCATCTAATCCTCATCAGTCCAATCAGCTGGTCCCGTCAGAGGATACTGATGAGCAGTGATGGGCTCTAATAACCTGTTATTTTAATGGGAGCCACATAATGAAAGCACCATCTTAACATTAATCAAGGTCTCTGATCTGTAACACACACACATACACACACTCCCAAACTGCTATTTATAAGTGCTGTTTGGAGAGTGGCTGTCATATCGGCTATGATATTGACACTGACTTCTAAAACAAGTTGAAATGGATATGATTGTGATGCTGTTGCTTTAACATCTAATGGTCAGGAACACAGGAAGTGGGTGGGGCCACTAATTAAAAAAAACCCTCAGATATAGATTATCAAAATTCTTGTTAGTTGTGGCCCTATTTGTGTAGGATTTTAAAAATGATTTTTGTTCAGAAAATTATTTACATGTTTATTTAATTGGTTCTTGCTTTTCTGAACATTTGCAGTGTATATTTGATGCTTTTTGTCGATCTGTTGATATTGTGTGTGTGCTTGGGTGTAAGATTGTAGCCATGCTGTATCAATCAGAGATGACCATTTCTATTGATCAGTGTTTGCAATACTCCTCTAACACACACACACACTTACACTTCTCTCTCTCTCATTTCAGCCACCCTGCGGGCGCTCTATCTCAGTGACAACGATTTTGAGATTTTGCCCCCAGACATCGGCAAGCTGGCCAAGCTACAGATAGTGAGTAATTTATCTAAATTCCCTCTGAAATCAATTGCTTTTGTGGCTCTGGAGTGCTCTGTGCCGTGTGTGTTGGATTTATTCTCCGCAGTGTGTGTTCTTTATCAGACGTGGTGAGAGGTGATTTAGAGGCTGATCTTCACCCCTGTGCTCGCTAGGATCAGACTCAATGCAGGGTCACAGTCACATAAAACAGCTAATAATTACAACTTTAAACTTGAAAATAAAATTCAACTATTTTGGTCAGGTGTTGCGTTAAAATATGGGTGTAATTACACCCATGATTTTTATAATGCAAGTGTTAGTATATTAAATGGTGCACTCATGTGACATGCTGTCAGTTACCACAGAGAATAATTTTGACTTGTCCTGCAGTTTATAGCAGTGTACAGTAATGCATTTACAATGGAAGTCTATGGGACAAGAAGACATTGCACCAGAAACATATAGCCTGTTTCAAAAGTATAGCTATATATATGAAGAGTTCAGATGCAAAAGCCTCTAAATGCCATCTGAAATTTTCTTCTAAAATGATCATTTTTATCAAGTTCGTATATTTAAATTCAGTAATTTCACTTAAATGACAATTAATGGGTAATTTTTCTTGCCATTCAAGTTTAATTATTGAACTTAAATATACGAGCTTGATAAAAATGATCATTTTAGAAGAAAATTTCAGATGGCTTTTAGAGGCTTTTGCATCTGAACTCTTCATATATAAATCATGCTCTGTAAGACCAGGGACTTTTATAAGAAAGCAAATAAGGTCAATTCTAAACCTTTTGTCCCTTTCTTTGCTGCCGCTCTCTAATTCCTCACTCTCTATTTTTTTCAGTTGAGTTTGAGGGACAATGACCTCATCTCTCTACCCAAAGAGATCGGGGATCTGACTCAGCTGAAGGAACTTCACATTCAAGGAAACAGACTCACTGTACTGCCTCCTGAACTTGGTAAGACATGAACATGTCCATGTGCGTAACACATGTTGCTGGACCAACATCCTTTATTTATTCCTATTAACCAATCAAAGCCTGGCCTTAAAACTGGAGTGTAGTGGCTGTTGGATAGGAATGCAAACTAATTCACACCCTCCTCAACCAATAAAACATCCACACTTACACTTCCAGACACATCTGTGCATTAGGGTGACCACCATGCTGTACAGTCACGAAATTGTGAGCTTTGTCCTGCATCGTGGAAGACATAAACAGTGTCCCACATTTAAATTATGTCTTGTTTTTTCTTCCCTGAAATTACAATACCACAATGGGATAGTTTGTGGTATTGTACCCCCCCCCCCCCCCACAAAATCACATCTACTGTCCTGCAACAGAGCAATGACCAGGTGGTCAACCTCCTGTGCATTCTAATTGGCTACAGATTTGTCATCTCTTATGTGATTGGCTGGAAGCTGAGTTGGATCACACCTCAGAGTGGTACTGCTGGGGTCAACCCAGGTCGAACTGCTCTCTACCTGAGTGACTTCACTTCTGGAAAACCTCCACACACACACCGCAACTGCCCTTTTGACAGTAGTTTTTCCTCCTGGCTTGTTCCATTCCAACAGTTTAATTTATGATTCTAGTGTAGCGGTATTCCAGCATTATGTCAGCACTCACCTTAAGTGTCATATAAATGTCGTGTGAAGGGTAAGTAGACTAAGCGGCTTACAAGTTGGCAACTATTTTTTAAACATTTAAAGAATTGGCCATTGTCGGCTTGAATTTGTGAGGTGTGTGTGTTTGAAACAAGCTACAAATAGCAAAATTGATGCTAGCAACTGGATACCAACACCCTCAACCACTCACTAGCACCATGACTGAGAGTTAAAAAAATATTTTTGAGCAACAACACTTCAAAAACCACTCAACTCTTTTGCCAGTGCAAAGCAACACCCTCAACAACCCCACTAGCACAGGACTGAGAGTTCTGCACAGGCAAACAGCACTCAAATTGTCTTCAAATTTTTGTTTTATGACCTATGTAGTGTTTTAGCAATTGGCAGTTGTTTATTGCCATTCTAGGTGTGTGTGAACGCTCTGGTCAGCAGGTCTTTGTCCTGTGCACTCTGTAGGGGAGACTCTTCCCGTGTGTAGCTTATTAGGACCCCTCTGTCATGTCCCTGTAATCCCACTCCACAGACCAGCCTCGTTAAGATGTGTGTGTGTGTGTGTGTGAGAGGAGAGCACAGCTAACAAGGAGCAACCAAGCGCACATGCCAAGAGCAGGAAAGGAAAAGGAGAGGAGAAAAAGTGAGGGATGTGAACGAGAGTGTGCAAAGAGGACAGATAGACAGTCTTTACCATTCAGAACATCTCATGTGTAAAGATGCTTTACTGATGCTTTAAACTGTTTAAAATGTTGAAATGAAAAGAGGAAGAGGAGGGTGGAAATTGAACCTGGACCAGCAGACGTCTGCTCGACCAATGAGATCTGAAATAGTTGTGTATATAGGACTGTCGTCTAGGTTTTTTAGGTTCAGGGCTGATTTACACTAACGGTCTTGTCTGACTGAGTTTGTGAGGTGTGGCATTGTGTGTCGGGGCAACACTTGCTAATCAGAAACTATTTAATTAGCCCCCTTGTGAGCTGAGATGAGCCACATTAGCACTTTGACCTGTACTGTTCCATCGGCACACTGTGAACCGGTTCTTTACTGGTCTTGTGTCTTCACGTCTCATCTCGTCTCTTTTCTTCTCCTATCTTCTCTTCACTTCTGCTCCTCATTTGTCGTGTCTCTTCTTGTCTCATGCCTTTTCTAATTTTCTTGTTTTGTCTGGTCTCTTCTTTTCTTTCATCTCGTCTCGTCTCTTCTCCTCTGGTCTTGTCTCATCTAGTCTCCTCTCCTCTTGTCTCATTTCCTCCCCTTTCCGCTTTGTCTCATCTCTTCTTCTCTTGTCTCACCTCATTCCCCTTTTTTCTTGTCTCTTTCTCATAACTTCTCTCATGTTTGTCTTTTTTTTCTTCCCTCTCATCTAGTTTCATCTGGTCTCTTCTCTCTTATGCCACGTTTCTGTTTTTTAGGTTTTTTTTGTCTGGTGTCATGTTTTTTTATGGTCATGTCTTTTCATTTCTTGCTTTGTCTTGATTATTTTCTCTCATCTCATTTCATCGGGTCTCTTCTCTTCTCTCTTATGTCTCATTTCTTCTTGTTTTGACTCATTAGCTGTGTTCCATTCGACAGGGTCCCTATTCAGTGTTCACTGCTGTATACTCCCTGAGCACGGGATATCCATTGAAGTGGACTTCGCTGACAATAATCGCTCATTTGGAACTCCCTACATCATCATCATCATCACCATCAAAGAAAGGCAACGACCGGGTCGCACAGATTATGATATAACATAAATATTATAATATATTTTACTTTAAAATGCATCATATCAGTATCATATAATATACATATCCAAAACAAACATTATGTATCTAATAAATATAATTTAAACATGTTTATTACATGGACTACTTGTAAATTTAATTGACTATTGCAGCTATTATTTGAAATAAAAAATGACAGCGCTTCAGCTGCTTTTCAACATTTGCAACAAATGCAAACGTAAAATTCAATGGCATAACCATTCATAAATATTCTAGTTTGTATAGCAACAAAATATTTATGAATACTCAAAAACCATGCGTAAACTCCTCTATTGCAGAGCCGTTGAAAAACTCCATCGTTGGTTCAGACTAGTGATGCTATGCGCAATGACAGTTGGATTATATTCACTCTCCACTTCCTGTGAAGTGATGTATCGATGTTCCCTTATTCCCTATGCCGTTCGCAGTGCCCTCCGACCTGATCATGTTCGCTCCCATCGGATTGTAATCTCACTTAAGATGGCAGAGTACCCTGTGAAGTCCACTTCGCAGTCCACTTATGGTCGAATGGAACTCACCTATTTTTTTCTCTTTTCATTATATCCCATCTTGTATCGTCATTTTTTTTTTTTTGTCTTGTTTTTTTTTTATCTCATCTCATCTGATCTCTTCATGTTTTATCTCATATTGTGTCTTCCTTGAGTCTCTTTTCTCATCTCTTTCGTTTTCTTGTTGCTTTAAAAAAAATTTTTTTTGTCTGGTCAGGTCTTTTTATAATTTTTTCTTTCTTTACTCATCTTGTCTCTCCTCATTTTTCCATCACACCATCTTATTGCCTCTTATTGTCTTATCTCTTCGTGTATCTTTTCTTTTCTCGTCTCCTCTCCTTGTTTGATTTTTACCTTCTCTCTCACTTTCCCTTTTGGTAAATTTCTAATTCCTCCTCCTCCTCCTCCTCCTTTCTCTGTCTGTAGGTAACCTGGACCTGACAGGCCCAAAGCAGGTGTTTAAGGCTGAGAATAACTCCTGGGTGATTCCCATAGCAGACCAGTTCCAGTTGGGCATATCTCATGTCTTTGAGTACATCCGCTCAGAGACCTACAAGTAGTAAGTGAATCTCTCCATCCCTCTGTGCTGTCAAACATCCAGGAGCATGTGCAGTGAATCTGAGTGACACAGAAGAGATAGTATCTCAATGGTTAGGGATCCTAGCTGCTTGCACAAAGGTTGAAGGTTCGGTCCCTAAAACTAGTGACCGAGACTGATCATCTTGCCAACCTCCAGGTTTAAAAACTCTTCAACACCTGCATCATTCACTAAAGAGTCTTTGGGGTGTTTGCTTGACGTATTGCTCAGCCCGCAGTCAGATGTGCCAGTGTTCATTTCAATAGCCTAAAGGCCAGCGGGCGGCCCTGTTCAGCTTTTGATGCATCGGATGCTACAGCTCCAGTCTGTAAAACACGATGCTAGTCGTGGAACTCGTATTAGATCAAACGCACATCAGCAGACCTGATTTAGACAGACTCGATGGGTCTTTAACTAAGAGAAATGTCCTGAAATGTCTTGCTAAATGCAAAGTATAAATTTAGTCCCTCTATACAGGCCAGTTTTATTGTGGCACATATTTTTCTGGAACAACCCTTAGGATGGTGATGAAAGAGAGGAAAGGTGCAGTTCTCTTATTATTTCAGGATCTGATGATTTAATGCACAATCAAACTAATTAAAATGAAAGCTCGAGGCGTTACCCTAAAAGTCTTGTCGCTCTCTCTCTCTCTCTTTCGTTATCTCTCTCATTCCTCTTACATACTATTAAATATTCTACAAAAAATGATTTATTTGCATTAGGTTGAAACAGAGTGACTTTTTGCATCGGGTGACAATAGCATTGGCCATAAGGGAAAGTGGCCATACAGCGCAGCTTTTTGCTCTCAATAATCTAGTAGTGGAACCAAAAAAAATGTATGCAATTTTTATGTGGAGAAACATTTTTAGAATGTATTATTTTAATATTTATAAGTTATTATATATATTGTATATAATAGCAATAGCAACATATCTAGTGTGCATATATATTACATTTATAAAATATAAAATATATAAATGTATTAAAACTGAACATGCTAGTATATATTTTATATTAATATATATATTCAATTCAATGGGGCTTTATTGGCATGAAAGTTTTTGAAACAATGTTGCCAACGCATCATATATATATATGTATATGTATATGTGTGTGTGTGTATGTATATGTTTTTATAGTTACACTATAATATACACTGTTTCTATATTATATAAAAGTAAATGTAATTGCAGTATTTCAATCGTATGTTACTAAACAAATTTGGCTCAAACCTGACACAACCTGATGTAATCCCTTTGACCTGGGGGAAGGAAGTTTCCAGACTAATTGTAGTGTATCTTTCACGGCCCTGTTCCACTTACCAATCCCCCTGAACAGGAGAGGCAAATCCCCCTCTGTTTGATCATTTAGCTGTGCCGCTGTGCCGCTGTCTGGAGAGGACCGTCGTAACCCACTTACCGGAACTGATCTTCCCCTACGGGCACAGTCAGAACCACCACGCATCTCAGTGTGTGCTGACACCGTGACCGCGTGTGTGTGCACGTCTGCGTGATAATCAGATACCGCTGCTTGAAATGTTTTGAATAGTTTCGATATGTTGACTGCATATCATCCGTTCTAATGCACTTGTGTTTTGCAAAACTCAATATTCCGCATCGGACACTTTCTGTACGCTGCTTTGTATCGAAGTCCACAAGGTTTGAAGGTCACGTCGCTGAGAGCTGACATAGCAGATTCGGTTTGATAAATGGGAATTTTTGAGCGAATCAATGCAGTCTGGAGCTGTCATCCATTTTGTGTCAAGCAGTCGTCAAAACTGCCGTATGAGTTAGATATTTGAGTCCGATATCTGAGTCTAAGCAGTTTTGAGCACCATTTATCTTTCTGTAGTTATCTTTTGTACTTTGTTGTGCCATTTAGTCAGAATTACTCCTCAAGTTTTAGAGAGGAGATCTTGGAGAGAAGCGACATCCAGAAGGGTAGTGTAGCATTGTGGTGAAAGATCTGGGCAGGGAACCCAAAGGTTGCAGGTTTGAAGCCCACCAGGGTTGATCCATGAAGTGAACTATCATCATGTTTACCTAATGTATGTATCATTGGGAGTTTTTACATGGTCAAGTCAAGAAAAAGCATTAAAAACTAGGGGTGTAACGATACCCTCAAGTCACGATTCGATATCACGATACTGAACTCACGATACGATATTATTGCAATACTCCAAGACATATGGTAAAATGTTAACAAAAAATGTACTGTTGATTTAAAATGCATAATTTGGTATTACATTGGGGGGTGTAAATGAATAGGCTTGGACTTGGTGCTGGTAACCCAATGCACCAGACAATAGTGACACCAGAATTAAAATATTCATGATTCTGAAGCTGAAAATACAATTATTTTAAACAAACATGCTTGCACTCTGTCGCCGATTAGAAATATTTAAAATAATGTTGGCCACTTTTTACTGGTAACATAAGACATCTGGCATTATCAGGACCCACAAATATTCCCCCATTGCATTATTATACATTATATTCAACATTATATAGTAGTTTAATGTAGGACTGACTCTAAAACTTGAGACTCTAAAACAGAATTTTTTCTCACACAGTAATTTTCATTTTAGGTGAACTATATATTGTCACTATCCACGATACATATTTTTGCATTTTTATATTGTGACACGATATATTGTTACACCCCTATTAATTTTACTTGGGTAATGTGACACTTTTTGAGGAAAAATATCAGGTAGGATTTTATTCATTGGAAATTATATTATAATATACATATATGCCAAATGATAATTCCATTTTTTTTTTTTTAAATTTAATTTATTTTTTACAAATGTCATTATTTGCTATTATTATTGTAAATTAGTACAGTAACTATTAGTTAAACAGTTACTCAAAACAATGGCTAAATGGCTATTTCCCAGGTAAATGCGCAAAGAAAGTAAATCTGGTGAATTTTGTCATCATGTTGACTGGTCATGACTGTTGTTTAATGATGTCCTGAGCACAAATATCTTTTATAGGTTCTGGACTGAGGTTATGACTTATGAGGATTTTGACATAGAATGAAAGTGCACAAACATTAAGATGCTGTGTGTCTGTTTATGTGCCTTGCTTGCGAATGTGCTCGAGAGAGACAAGTAGGTTGTCTCACATTAGACAAGTGTTAACGGTGTGTAATTCTCAGTAGGTGTGTGTCCACGGTTCAACAGTTTCATTCTCACCTGCCTAGATGTCCTTCAGCTTGGAAATCACGATACTCACACCTCTGTCCCTCTCTCTTCGCCATTCCTCACCTCATCCAGTTTTCATTCCTGATGGACATTTTCTCATTTAAGATCACTGATCCAGTGTTTCGAAATACCAGTATGTTGAAACAGCAGAAGACAGACACATCCAGGCTTCTTTCATTTTTAATTGGCAGGGGCGTAACAATTTACCCTGGCATGCTCCATCTATTTTAAGTGGGTGAGCACAATACATCTATCCCATTTGGCCAATATTAATGTTTTTTTGTTCAGTATGTATCGACCAGTATTGTACATTTAGTATTGTCTTTTAATCTAATATGTAATATCATCAGAGAACCATTGAAACCAACATTTGGCATTGGCTCATTGGCGGGCTCAATGCTAAGAATTTTTTTTTAGGTTAAAAATGACACATTCTACGGAGACCCTAGAGGGACACGGGGATGGGGAAAAATATGATATGAGAGGAGAAAACACATTTCAATGCTTTTGAGTTCTATATAGTTGGGTAATTATATTGCATCAGGGAGCTGCTATCAATAACCAGCCACTGCAGCAAGCCTAACCATGTCCATTTAGGGCCTCCGTAAAATGCGTTATTCATTTTCTGCGCCTTTCTGAATTCGGAATTAGGCTTCGGACACATCCCTAGTATATATATATATATATATAAATGTGTGTATATAATAATACCAAAATTTGCTGTGCTTTTTGGCAAATCAGGTATACCTACTGAACAAATCCGGTAGAACTAGTGGGCAAACGTCACCACACTTACCGGTAATTTAATATTCATGAGCCAAGCTTATTTGCTAAGCCCGATTTTTCTTCCCAGATTCTCCCCTGGTTTTAGGATATTATTTTATAGTTTTGTTGTAAGCGATGTTCCATTTGATGGCCGTTAAGATCATGAGTCATGTTGCTTCTTGAGTGCTGACGTTTTGTCGAATATTCTAGTCATTTATCTTGAATTCACGCAGATGTCTGGAATTAAAACTGTTGACAGTTAGTCCTAACCCTCCTCTCGTTTCCTGCTCTTCTGTCAGTAGGTTTGGTCGTAGCATGAACAATATATCTGGAGTGGAGGAGGAGGGGGGTAACCTGTCATGCATATTTCATGGGGCGGCTTGTTAACCTGACAGAAGGATCTTATATCTGACTGACAGCATTGGGGAGACTCTTCGTGCTCATAATGCATTAACATATCGTAAAGCCGTCTTCCCACCATCTTTTATTCATCGCTAACTCTAAACGCTTGTTGACCGCGGTACAACCGCCACAGCTCTCTTCACAGCTGTCCAGGGCTGACTGATAAAACCAACCGCAATTAACTTCCCAGCGGCACAGACCCTGACATGCACACATATAGGAAGTCCCGCATCTATCTGCTCGTGGACCAGTGCTATGAGTCAGCGGGAAGGAAAGGTCGCAGATCAGGAATTGTTGCATGTGTGTTTTTGATAAAGAGATACAGAGACGCCTCATTCGGAGACAGATTGGGTCAAAAGCCACATTTTCAGTGTTTGACTGTAATTTAAATTTTCTTTAATATGATTTGTTATATTCATTCATTTTCTCTGACTGAAATAGCATATCATTCTATTATATAATGCAATATAATGACATAATTTAGTCAACAGTAATAACATTTTTTTTGGTCATTTCCAAAATGAATTGCAACAAACAAATGAAAGATTTGTCAACATAAACAAAACCACTAGAAACCGTTTGAGCATTGTGCTGAACTATTGGCTGC